TAAATAAATAGAGCAACAACATCTGCGTAGCGACCCCAAGAATTGAAGAAATGTCATTAAATGAACGTCCGTAAATCCTCACAGGCACGGTGTCAAGGTCAGTCTGAGTTAAGTGCATTACAAGCTTGTGTTATCATCACCCGTGTAACCAGAGCTTCAGGGATTACAGACGTGTGCACACATCATTTGCATTGGACTGTGCGGTGTATACAGTAGCAGCACAGAGGGCACACGTGAAGCTAGTGTCGAGTTGCTTACATCCCGACGCGGTTCATGCGTTTGCTGCGAGTACACGTGTGTGTGTCTTTTGTTTCCACGTTTTAAATGTGCGACCGCGCTGCTGGCAGGAGAAACGTTCCAGACAGCTTCCCCCCCCAGATACAAAATACAAACAAACCCCCGGCACGCACTGAATGGGAAACCTTTATTCTTTCGTACTCCCATCTAAGCATCCGGCTTATGTTTCAACAGGCTGAAAAAGAGATTATGAGGAAAAAACGCTTTGTCATAACATTATCCGGTGTGATTATGTACCTGTTGTCGGCATGATTCGTGTTTTTATGTAACCGGGTGCCACCGTGTCCTTGTTTATAACACATTAGGTGAAAGCGAAGCATATGCCAGTGACATTGTCCGTGAATGGGTGTCACTACACCTTGGAAATCTGTGTGTGTCTGTGTGTGTGTGTGTGTGTGTGTGTGTATGTGTGTGTGAGATAGCTGCCAGATGGGACTCTATGATTCCACATATAAGCTCTCAAAAACACCAACCTCCACCGTAACAAAGGCCCCCTCAGACCACAGCAGTGGTGGAGCACAAATCAACCACAACATCTACACACTGCAGCAGGAGGAGGAGGACGAAGAGGAGGAGGAAGACAACTCATTTTCACTACCTTTACTCGCCTCTCTCTCTTACTGCGTGAGAGCAATACAACCAGCCACAGGGTTTCTTATTGACACACTCGTCACTGGGAGGCTTCTTTCTCTTCCATAACCGACTCCTACGGTGTAGACGGCAGCAGTACAGACCTGAATATGAGACTAGTGGGGTTCGAGTAATATCGCTAACACCAGATATTCAGAGCGTTGCATTACAGGTTGTTTTAAGCCTCAATGTTGCACCTTTGACTCATTTTCAAGCCTCCAAAACAGACGCTGCTACCCTGTGAATAGCATTCTTAGGAGAGCCTTCGTGCCACTATTCGGATATCACATCTGAAAGGCGTAGCAGGGAAAACTGGTTTGAGTGGGTTAGCAGCGTTTTAAAGCTGGTGAGAGGTTTCACTGCAGCCTGCTGCCGACAAAAACAACGACATTAAAAATCCTCTCTCCACTGCGACGGTGTTACTGGTTTCGACTGCAACACATTCCCGAATCTTTCCAAAGCCGATGGATAAACAGATCATTAAAAGGCACTAATGGCCACGTATGTCATTATCTCCCATCTCTCCCTGAGGCTCGAGGTTGGTCGGCTTTTAACAGAAAGAGTAAATAACCGTGGAAAGTCAGGAGGAGGAGGAGGAGGAGGTTTGCACTTTATCTGCCTTCATCGAGCTGAGCCTCAGAGGAAACTTCAGACCTCTCGGCCACTCAGCTGTGCGGAAGAACGAGCAGCGCCGAGGCAAGTGGCAAAGCTTCTTAATGACCACCACCACCCGTCTGCCAGTGTGTGTGTGTGTGTGTGTGTGTGCGATAGCCTGTTGGCACTATCTCCATTTCTTTCCGTTTGTGTGTGTTCAGCAGCTGTGGTTTTTTGTTTTTTTGGGTGGATAATGTAATGCTGAGACTGGAGGAACGAGTGTCGTCCCACTATTGTGTTTCAGGGCAATTACAGCAAACAGGTCTAACAAACGCACGATGTATAATTCAGAGCACGCTGCATTTCTGCCACCGCCTCCACACGCCAACAGTATTCATTACTGAGCCCGTAGATAAGCATTTATGTTTAATGCGCTGCTGCTTTCACTTATTTACATTACATCTGATGCATTACAAACAAAGGTTCCTGAGGCGATTATGTTCTTGTCCGGGCTACTCAAAATCTTTCACATCTTGGATTGCGGTTCCCGATTGTTTGCTTCATGGTTGCAGAACTTGCAATTTCCTCGAGAGATTTCGTGGTGAAGCATTCAACTGAAAAAGTTGTTTCTTGCATGAGGACTGAAAGCATAGCCATAGCTTCAAAATCTACCTAGCAACACCTCTAGACTCAGCAATTATCCCGTTTTATCTTGTTTGTTTGATTCATACAAACACTGCGGGGGTTTTAGAGGGTCATGGTCAGTATGTGTATTGCCCAACACTGGTCACAAGTAGACAGAGCTTCCTTTAAAGGGGACGCAAGCATAAAAGCTTAAACCATTGCCTCTCCTGTATTCTCCACTGCTTCCCATACATGTGTGGTTGCACTGGGAAAGCTCACTAATGGCTTGGAAGCCACGTTTTAGCCCCCACGGAGCTGAATCACGGGGACTTCAGCTCTGTGAGGACGCCTTCCGTTAATAATGCAAAAAGACGAGGAGCTCTGCGACGGGGGCCATTCCTGGAATACCTGACGCCGAGCAGCAGCAGCAGCAGCACAAGGAGGCTTTAACTAAACTCCAAACCATTTGTGGTGTGAACACCGGCAGCTACCGTCCACATTCCACCTGACGGCAAATACACGCACATGTACTCATCGGTGGGATTATTTGGCTGCAGAAAATGAAGGTTTCACCCAACCTCTGATAGTGCCATGCACCTGTGTATATGTTGATGACGCTGCAGAGAGAGGAATCACACACGACAGCGGACTAAAAGAGCTGGCTCAGAGCCAGTGAAATGATTTATTCCTCCCTGGTAAACGGTGGAATAGAAGGTCAGGAAAGCTGAACGCAGACATTAGACCTCAGAGGCACGCGGCGGTTATGAGGAAGGCGTGGAGCAGATTTCTTCTGGTGCCTTCAAAACAAATATTCGCGCCATCCTGGTGGCTTACACTTGAAGACAGATGCAGATATTTCCTGTCACTCCCCCCACTTGAATGTGACCCAAAAAAACGGCACAAAAACAAACAGCCTTCGGGGGTTGACATGTTTCGTTTTTTCCAGGTTTCACTACAAAATTCGGAGTTGGTCTGTGCCTGCCAGGGCAAATTCTACCCATGGCGGCACTGCATAAACAGCATACCAAGTGGCATTTTGGGTAGACAGGAAGAGGTTAGAGCAACAGCACCTCTGCTAGAGAGAGAGAGAGAGAGGGGGGGGGGGGTCGGAGTGCTTCTTGCAGCAACAGAGATTGAGCAACAGTTCAGCAGACTGCAAAACATCACCAGGACTTTGAATGTGAGCCTTTCAGAAGACGCAGGTTCCTTGTAGCTCTCGGATGGACTGCGCCACAGATTAGTTGCAGCGTTTCTGCAGACTTACCCACCGAGAGAAAACCTATTTAAATGGAGATGACAGAGCCACCGCTCCTTCTCACATCTCCCAGCCTCTATTTCTCTCCATCCCCAACGGGGTTTCTTTTGTCTGGCTCTGTGAGTCTCTCTCTCTCTGTCTCTGTGTTGCTGCAACTGCAGTGAAATCAAAATATATTTGATGGACCGTGACGCCTGCTGAAAAACACGTCTGTGAATATTTGCGGGCCAACACGAAAAAAAGTGAAATCCTCCGTAGTCTCGAAGGAAAGTTCAGGAGGAAACATATTTAAAATGTAGGCTAACAATGGATGTTTCATTCATGCTAGCTGTTCCAAAATATAGATCCAGGACTGCATCATTTATTCACAAGCACATGGTGCGCACACACACACACACACACATTCCCAAAACAACATTAAGAGGCAGGCAAAACATACCCTTGACGCTTTGCTTCCAACCCAGCAAAGCAGCATTAAAATGACAGCATGTGAGCTTTGTATGAAGCTTTTTAACCAGCACGCTTTATTCCCCACTAATTGCTTTCAGTAAACATCTGGAGGGATGATGACGTGGAAAAACAAAAACGAACACAATTTAAGGGCAAAAAAACTTGCAGAAGTTGCAGATTTACAAGCCGGGTGTAACAGGTGAAAACCGCAATATAAACGCGTGAACGTTTCCGTCAGCGTAAAACAAATAGGAATAAATCTCGAGCTTTTCCTTTTCATCTTCTCAGTTTGATAGATCTTCGTGAATCACACGAGCGCCACTTCAGCCTCGGCGGTTAACCCTTACACCTCGAGTCTAACTCGCAACCTCGGTTATTACCACGGCGGCGTAAACACAAGGGGACGGACCCTTCGGCACACGTATCGGACGTCCCATCCGATACGCGTCCTTTTCACGTCCACTCGGGCGTCTTTGTGGAGGTGGACGAGGTGTCTCGACACCACTGTGACCTTTGCTGCGTCCTCCACACGAACGACCACTTTCATCGCGTCGTATCGCCTGTAAATTGCTCGTGGGAAAGATGTTATCAAGATTCATTTCTGTCGTGAAACATCTTCCCCCCCCCCCCCTTCATTCTACAAAACCAATACATCACAGCGCCAGATGTTACAGCTGCGTCCTATGCCCCTTCTATAGCTGGCAACCCCAATGCTTCATCAACCTTTGTGTCTGGATTGATCTGGTGGGCAACAGCTGAGACTACTGGGGAAAAGGATGCACCTGCCCCACCACAAACCAGGGGGGGTATATGTCAGTTTGTGCTGTCGGATTAGGGTTGTAAAAGCCACTGGGTAATGACTATTTAGGTGAAGTGGTGGTCGTCAATCTGGGGGTCTCCAAGGGTCCTAAAGGGGGCTACAGTGGTCCAATCGGAAGGAGATAAATACCCAAATTAGAGCGAAAGAAAAGGGTAATTATCGCCTTTAATGTGACCTTCCTATATTGACATGTGTAGGAAATTCCCCAGTGTGAACACACAGACTGGGTCACCTCCCCCCCCCCATTTAAAAACAACACTCAACACAAAAATGAGAAGTCATGCTCGGCTTATTCGACCGCGGGCCCCCCCCCTTTCCCCTCCCACATACCTCGGCACACAGCTGGGTGAGGAGCGGTCCACCTCCCAGGTGGCGTACAGGTTCATGTGGACCGGCCGGTTGGAGGTGGTGATGCTGACCGGCTTGGAGGGCTGCATGTGCGGCGAGGGGACGCCCCCAGTCCGCGGGAGCCCTCCTCCTCCTCGCTCCGACATCCTGGAGGCTGAAGAGGAGGAATACCCGGAGTAGCCTTCCTTCTTCTCCGTGTGTGTTGTCCTTTTTTTAAGTCCTCCTCCTGCCTTTTACTTCTCTTTTTCTCCTGCTGCAAATGCGTAAAACGCTCGCGAGCAACGTACAACGTCAACGGAAAGTTGAACAGTCTCGTGCTATTCCGCTTGATAGTGGAAACATTGCGGTCGTCGTGGGGGTGGGGGTGTTTAAACCCGAAATGCAGGCGCCAAATCCCCGCGTCTGTCTGTGTGTCCTCTCCTTAGAGCAACTTCGCGTTGGTGTTTGGGGGGGGGGGGGTTGTCAGTGCAGGAAGCGGAAATTTCTCTCGCTGTAGTCGGTCGCACAATGGAAAGAAAGCAACGAGCAACGCCTCTTCAGTTAGGACGTAACGCACGAGCGAGAGAGAGAGAGAGAGAGAGAGAGAGAGAGAGAGAGAGAGAGAGAGAGAGAAAGGGGCTGGCCAATAGCGTGCTCTGGTTGTGTTACTGTGTTTTTTTTTAATCCTGGGTTTCTGTATGTGTCATCTATTCTTACATTTACGGTACTAATATTTACACTTGTACTACTATACTGTATATCGGTTTATGTTTATTTTAGAGGTTTTACTAATATTTACTATTACACTTTTATTTCAATTGTACCTCATTTTACAAAGGTTCATTGAATTCAATTAAGAAAATGTATTTTTTATTTAATCATCTACTTTTTATTTAAAGTTATGTTCTGTAATTAACGTATTATGCATCGTTTTTTATTACTTAACATTTTTTATTATTGTTTATTAATTTTTTAAATAATATTTTGATAGTATTGACTCTTGTATTTGTTATTAATCATTAACATTAACATGAACTATTATAAATAATATTAGAATGTTATTAGACATAATTTGATATGTTATAGTTACATATATTCTATTGTATCACTACACATACTTATGTATTATTTATTTCAATACTATTTTCTCTTAAATATTGTTTGTAGCATTTTTCCTTTCATATTAATGCCTTCATGTAATGCTGCATAGTAACGTAGCATAGTCTAGTGTAATGGAGTACTGGTAGTGTAGTGTAGTAATACACAAACCATGTATTGTCTTTTTTGCTTATGCTCTGGATTATTACTGTGTTGTACAATGACAATAAACGAAACATTGTTAACAGTATATGCAAAGTATCCTCTGTGCTAATGTGACTATGGTCATGTAAATAAAGCACATTTAACAATAACATTTTTGCATTGTTAAAGGTTAGTAAAAAGGTCACAATTCCCCTGCAAATTGAGTATTTCCTGGTTATCATTAGATAAACAAATCGAACAGATGAATAACACCAATAACACACAGTGGAGCGTCACCTTTCCTCCTTACTATGGCATTGATTCAGACCATATAGATAAACACCAGAGCCAATATTGACCCATCATCCCCTGCATCACCCTCACACCACCTGCAGGATTACGCTCTGTACGGGTGAGTATTGTTTTGGTATTACAGTATTACTCTCATACAGGAGAACAACCGGTATTCTGGTGTGTGTTTGTTTTTTAGTGCGGGGGAATTTGTGAATCGTTGTATTTTAGGCCCATATGGCAAAATCACTGGAGTGTCAGGTGTCACAGACACACACACACACACACACACACACACACACACACATCTTCCTTCAGCCGTGACCAGGCGAATACACAAAGGTGCAGAACCGGTTACAGTCTGAGAACTTCCTCCCTGAAGTGTCATCATTAACAACCAGACGTGTAGAGAGAAACATCTTTTAATGTTTTTAATGTTGCCTACATGTACTGGAGCTATTATGATGTAAAAATGTACTATGCATGTGTGTTTTCAAGCTGTTATTTGTGCAACTCTCTCTCTCTGAAACAAACACCACTGCAGTGTTTGCACCCTCAGCTGGCAAAAGGCGGTGCTGCGGCTACAATCTCTGAATTTGAATATTAATCAGAAGGTGACCTAATCACTCCGCCCACGTCACGTCACGGCTGGCTGGCTGTCACCAGCTCTGACGTTTCTCTATTGGCAGATTATCACAGCTGTGATCGGGGCTTACAAGAGAAACACAAAAAAACATCATGTGCTTGAAATGTTCCTGGATGAACTGGAACCAGTAGAAAAACAATTACAGCATTTATTTAGATTTAGCTCAAGTATGGGCGGCATTCAGGGGATGTTGGAAATACCACAACTAAATAAAGCTTGTCACTTATAGATGATGTAACAGGAAGCTTTTGTTTATATCAAATCCATTACGATTTTTCACTGTGCTGCTTGATTTATTGGAGCAAAAACATTTAAAAAAGGCCACAACAAAACATGTTTGGACCCGTTCTGTAAGTGTTTCCAACCAGAAGTTGACTTTAATGATTGCCTCCACATACAGCAGTGCAGGTGTGCAGGTCATAAACTGGCTTGTTAGGCCAATCTAATCACAGCAGGGCTCCCTGTTTGCATTGGCAATGGTTTTAATGGTGTGCAGCCTGTTTATTAGGTGGACAAGATTTGTTTAAGGTCTTGTAGAGTGCAGGTTCAAACATGGTTAACCCGTCTTCCTGCGACTCATTCAGATGCTGTGTAGTCAGAGAAGAGAGCGTTTGGTTTTTTTTTCCTTCCAACCCAAGCAAAACAAAAGCTGATGTCACTTCCAAAGTGTGACAATCAGCCGGTTCGCTGATGAGCTGGAATTAAAACCGTGGAGCCTCTCTCCGCGCGTGGCTGCCTATCTCTCCGTGTGCCTCGCGGTGGATTAATCAGCCAGCGTGACTCTCAAACGCACCGCATAAAACCCTCTCGCCTGCTCTTTTTAACGCGCTTTCCTCAGCAGCCCCCGCCAACAAAGAGATTAGAATGGAGCAGATTAAAACACGGTCACGGGATAATCCCGGGTTACTTTTTTTTACACAGTGCCCCCCCAACAAAAAAAATCTGCCAGGTCATCAAGTGACTATCAAAATCAATTAAATTTGTCTTTTATGCAACACAGTTATACTCCCCTCATGTGCACATCTGCTGATTTTCATACATTTACAAAGTATTGATACAGTGTTTGTTTGCGATAGAATAGTTTGGGATTCTCTGAATTATACTGATGTGCTGTGGATTACTGCTCTCTGTATTTGCAATATTTGGTAAAAATACACATGTATCAAGGCTGCAACTAACAATTATTTGACTCATTGTTTAATTTATTGATGATCTTTTTGATTAATCTAGTAATTGTGTGGCCAGAGCCCAAGATGATATATTCAAAATGCTTTGATCACAACAAAGAACAGCATCAACTCCTCACATTGAAGAAGCTGTGGCCATTTTGCTGGAGAAAATGGAATTATGAATCTATTAATAAAATCATTCTTTTAATCAATGTCTTTTGTTGTACATTAGCTCTGCTCCAAGTTAATTAGGTGTAAAAGACAATGAGTTTTTGAATGTCAATCGTCGTAATAATCAACAGTGATACACTGGATGGATCGATATCTCTTTCCAAAACTGAAACCAGCTGAGATTTAGAGGAGACATGCGTACATGCCAAGAGATGTCATTTACCTCATGGGGCACGTGTCCCTCTCACAAAAGTGCCACAAACATTATCCCTTGTGTTTTTAAGACAATAAAAGCCTTTGATTTGGCGCAGGCTGTTGCTCCCTGTGTGTGTGTGTGTGTGTGCACTAGTGACCGAGTCAACACGAGGCTGCAGCAGCTATTTAGGTCACTGTGCTTCAGCACGTGGTCAGCTGACTGCGGCGTTCAGGGTCCTTTGATGCCCCCCAGCGGTAGAAACGTGAACTACAGCGTGTTGTACTGCGTCGGCGTGTTCTTTTGTGGAAACGAATGAGTCATTACTTAACGTTAAAAGGCAGCCCCCTCGTGCGTGTTGTGCTCCCCTGGCAGCCTGGTTTGAGTGATGACATCAGTGTTACCATGTTATGTTTTCTGTAAATATGTCACATTATGGTCCAGTAAACGGTTCAAAGCCTTCTCCACACTGCCAGACATCTATAGCAATTCTCATGGAGATTATTAAAACTTTCCAATTCACGTAGTTGCCTAAAAAAACAAGTTATTTGAGTTATTTTGCCTAAAACACATCAGAACAAGGAGTGTAGCCTTCAATCTCTAGTTTCGGCCTTCATTTATTGGATTTTAAGCTCATTTGAACTAAACTGAAGTAATCTCGACTACAGCTCTGATCACAATCAGCCTTAAAACCTCAAACATGAGTAATCCAACACTATGCACTCCTCTACATGTAATTAAAACCCCAACACATTCCTTATAATAGTACAGAGGACATAATCGAGTGTCCTAGATGGCAGCTAAAGCCGTGTCCTTCATCCTACCAGTAAATCTGGAGCAGAGTGAGAGCTCCTCTTGTGAAGGGATCAGCTGACTCACACTTGGCAGATACCTTAGGATTCTACCACCAATCTAATGTAAGTGAACACTTCTTACAGTAACTCCCCACAAAGTGATGACATGCAGGATGAACAGCAGTACAGCTGCAAATGTTTTATCATTTATTTACAAAAAAACAGAAAAAAAACATTGGCTACAATGTAAAAATAACCAAGAAGAAAATGTAGGTTCAAAATGGAGGACACGCGTCATCATTCTCATGTGACACCGATTACGTCATGGAAAACATCTAATTATATTTATTTTTTTAAAAAGGAACAAAACTGTTTACGGTTACTGGTCTAACAGATGGTCGATGTTGCATTCTGCATCCTCCAAAGTTAAAAATCTGCGTACAGCTCTTCCTCTTCCTCTCCCATCGGGGCTCCTTCTCTAGAACTTGAACTCTTTGTATTTCTTGGCGCCGCCTCGTGTGTCCTGTGGCTGGGCCTTCCTCTTCTTTTGCTGTGCAGGGACAAGAGGTTATTAATATTCAAATGTCAACAAAAAGGGAAACTGACAGCACACTGTATTAACAGCCTCTCACTTTCTTTTACTTATAAATAAAACACTTGGAGAGTCGGGGTTTATTCCTACATCTCGGTGATCAGTTTAATATAACTAATAACAGTTATTGAGGAAAGAAACCTTCTGCAATCAGACTTCAGAAGAGGAAACGTGAACTCTTATAAGAACTGGGTATGAAACGTGAATTAGTCTCCATGAAGAAGAGCATCAGCGTGTCTCCGTACCTTCTGTTTGGCTGCATGCTCAGCCACCATGTCGCTGAAGTCCTCTTTCTCCACCTGCGCCTGCTGTTCCCTGACGTGCTCCTCGTACTTCTGCGTCATGGCCATGGGGTCCAGCTCCAGCTCCTCCGG